GCATCTCCCTGTCCGCAGAAAAAAACTCTGAGTAATTTAAAAATAATTTATAGTGCAAATTGTGTTACGGCAATAAAACGGACATGCATGCATGGACACTCAGCGATCGCTTATGGAACTCACGCCTCCTTTTGTTTACTGGGACTCGATCTGGAGCCCCGTCAGAAACCACTCAACAGCTAGCATATTTTGGACAGAAAGTCATTAACACTCGATGATGACTGTTCACCGATCGCTAACAGAACGCAATTGTCCCGCACTCGTCTTACTCTCGGGCTCTGACAGCCGCCGTACAGGTGAAAATTGCTGGCAAAGACGAGGGGGACCAACAAAGACAAAGAAGACTGAAATGGGCATTTCCTGCTAACTAGTCGTCATCAGCTAACCATTCCCAACCCAAGGGGTAGTGACCCCCGAGGCTCGAACCCGCAGCCTTGTCGCCCATAAGTCCAACGCTCTAGCTACTGTGCCACGGGCCCGATACCTAGCCAGATTGGTGGGTTCCAGCATCGGGGGTCGCTAACTCTAGGATTGAGAATGGCTGGCCGATGACGCAGGGTTGTAATATTGATTATCTTACAGTCAAATCTTGAAATACGTAAACAGTGCCAGACGGCTGACGTCTTCTGAGACGCCCTTAACGAATGATAGCGTTCCATAAAATTTCTTGATTCAGTCTTGGTTCAGTCTATTGTTTGATAGTGTCTGACGTTTCATTTCCGCATGCACTGTTTGAGTGATGTGCACGGGTAACCATTCACCGTAAGCACCTGTCGGCAGGATGTCAATTCATCAGCCATGCATATCAGTTCACATTTACGCACCTTTGTGCAACTGCGGTTTGTGTTTGATTAGGTGATTGCTACTGCAAGTCGCTGCACGCCTCGTATCTGTCGTATTTGTGCGAAATCCCAGGCCAATGAATCTCTTCTTCTGCTCTGTTTCCTATAACTCGTGAAGTCATCTCTACAATGCAATAATTTATTAAAATATGCTTCAGTTTCGAAATTCGTCAGAATATTTTGACCCTTCATTATAGATTTCTCATCAGTGTTTGTTTTAAAACGCCCGTGCATTCTGGCCTAGGCGCTGTTGAGATCGTGATGCCCTTAACTTGTATCGTCAAACAACGTAGGATTAGATGGCTTGCGGATTTGAGTACATATTATCGGTTTTATAATCTACATATTACCTTTCGAGCATCAGCAAATAGGACTGGTGTAAGAGAAGGACATTCAATGTCACCTGTTTAACCAATCCACCTGTTAAAGTGTGCATAAGATTTAAAATATCATGCGGACACGCTTGCCTTACAGTATTACAGATTTACAATTTCCTCCGAGGGTTCGATTAGGAACAGCACGGATCAGTACTTGCTACGTATGTTTTCAGAATCTCTTAGTCTAAAGATAGATATTTGTGAAGCGCGACTTAGCGTTTATCGTACAACTCGCCTAAAACAGAACCGCAGATTTGACAAATGGTATGAAAGTTTGCGATT